TGAGTGGTCAAATTATAAATAACTATAATTTATAGGACCAAATTGTAAATTTTAAAATTTCCAAAATTGCAATAAGGGACAAAAATTGAAGATTTTTTCAGATCTTCTTCTTCGTTTCACTCCGCCGCCCACCTCCCAGCCCGGAAAAACTTCGGCATCATCGCCGCCTTCTCGCCCGTCTAGCACCACCGCCGCCTTCTGGACCGTCGAGCACCTAGCCCGATCAACAGCGACGGCTTTAGTGACGAAAAGCACGGTCCCGCTTTCAACATTTTTCGTGGCAAACAGTCCGCGACCACTGATTTCTGATTTCTTGATATCCAATGCGCCGATGTACTCTGCTAATTGGGGCGATTTCCCACGAAACCCACTCAACACCCACTCAGAAATATCGAATGCGCCGGTTCTCGACAGAAACTCGAGCCTCTTGCATTTTTCCAAGAACCCATTTACCAGATCGGAATTCTCGGTCGCCTGGGGGCCGAGATTGGCGGCGTTGAAGCAGCACAGGGCGGCGCTGTACCTGTTCAGACTCAACAAAATCTTACCCTTGCAAACGAGGGTTTTGAAATGGGAATCGTCGATTCAGAGGGCCTCCTCGCAGTCTGTCAGTGCTAAGGTGTGGTCCGACAGGCGGGCCCGGGCTTCGGCCCGGTTGGAGAAGGAAAGGCAGAGGAGCTTCTTGAGGTGGGGCCCATCTGGGTTTTTGGCGGCGATGCGAGTTTGGCAGAGGGAGATGATTTGGGAGTAGGTTTGGATTGAGAAGTTCTGTGGCTTTCGATCTCAGCTTTTCCATTTCTTCATCTTGATGTGCTTCTGTTTCTCTCATATTGTTTTGTTGCTGGATAATTTTTTTTTTCTTTTTTTTTTCTACTCGTTAATAATAATCAGGAGATGTGAAAAAGATTTGAAATGTGAGGAATTTGGTGGTGGTGATTTCAATGGCGGAGAAGAAATTTGGATTTTGGGGAAGACGATTTCAGCCCACAATTTGATAATTACAATTTAGTCCTATAACTTTAGATTATTTATAAGGGCAAATTACCAAAACCCCCCTGAGGTAAGCCTAAATAACGAAAATCCCCCCCATGTTCTCGTAATTACGAAAACCCCCCTGAGGTATGCAGACGCCTTACAAATCGCTCTAACGGTGTTAGACTCGATAGAATCTTTTTTATTCTCCCGAATATTCCTCCGATAATACCAATTTTGCCCTTGTACACGAAATTACTCTTAGGGGGGTAATTGTAAGCATTTTATTTAATGAGGGGTCATTATGAATGTACAAAATACTTATTTTTCTTAAATTAAACCCAAATATAATCAATCATTATGAATGTACAATGTATTTTTATTGGATTAAAAAAAATCAATGAATGAAATTTCAAAATGTAATTATTTTTTATATATAAAATTAAATATTTTACAATTTGAGAAATACAACCATGCATCATTCAAGCTAAAAGCATAAATCCGTATGAATACTCCTCTGGATAAATAAAATCAATTAAAATATATAAATAAAAAAATATATAAGTTTCTGCAAAATACTTATTTTTCTTAAATTAAACCCAAATATAATCAATCATTATGAATGTACAATGTATTTTTATTGGATTAAAAAAAATCAATGAATGAGATTTCAAAATTTAATTATTTTTTATATATAAAATTAAATATTTTACAATTCGAGAAATACAACCATGCATCATTCAAGCTAAAAGCATAAATCCGTATGAATACTCCTCTGGATAAATAAAATCAATTAAAATATATAAATAAAAAATAAAAAATTATAATATCAAATTATCAATACAAATTACAAAGTAATAAATAAATTTATAAAAGCAATAAATCATCAACTGAAAGGGATGTCGGGGGTGATTTTCGTTATTTAGGCTTACCTCAGGGGGGTTTTGGTAATTTGCCCTTTATTTTTTACATATTTAACAGAAGGATATAAAAGACATTTCACGTTTTCGGTTAAAAAAATTCGGTCAACCGTTAGTCAAGGGGGGTTTTCGTAATTACGAGAACATGGGGGGATTTTCGTTATTTAGGCTTACCTCAGGGGGGTTTTGGTAATTTGCCCTATTTATAATTGAATCAATCTGGGTTTTTTTCCTCTACCAAAGGGTTTTTATGTCTTTTCCTGTCCTAAAACGCACGCCCAGTTGCATGAACCGCGAGTGTATCCCACGATTCGCTCGTAGGGTCCTTATTGTCATTGACTTCCTTTCATAGGGGGGTATTTGCTAATTTTTTTATCCGAGGGGTTTTTTTGCCAATTAGACATTTCACAGGGGAGCCGAGTGCAAATACCCCCTAAATTTACCTTTGTAGGGGTGTTTTAGTAAGATAATCCATAATTGAGGGGTGGTTGTAATTACCCAAACATGAGAGAGGTTTTCGTAATTTGACCTTAAATCAGGGCTTTGCATAATTTGTCATTATTTTTAATAATTAGAAACTCTCTGACACCAAAAAAACAAATCCCCAGTCTTAAAACTCCTCAAAAGCCAAACCACAAAAACAAAAAAAAACAAAAAAAAACAAAAAAAAACAAAAAAAAAAACAAAAAAACAGAGGAATCCCAAACCCAAAAAATATTAATTAAAATATTTTTGAGGCTAGAAAATAATTAGAAATTTCATTTATAAAAAAAAAAAAAATTAACTAAACAAATTATTTTTAACAATTAAAAACTTTCTAACACCATAAAAACAAATCCCCAGTCTTAAAACTCCTCAAAAGCCAAACCACAAAAACAAAAAAAAAACAAAAAAAAAAACAAAAAAAACAGAGGAATCCCAAACCCAAAATATATTAATTAAAATATTTTTGAGGCTAGAAAATAATTAGAAATTTCATTTATAAAAAAAAAAAAGAAATTAACTAAACAAATTATTTTTAACAATTAAAAACTTTCTAACACCATAAAAACAAATCCCTAACCTTAAAACTCCTCTAAAAGCTAACCACAAAAAGGGAGAAAAAAAAAAATCACAAACCGAAAAAAAAAAAGAAATTTAATGAAAATATTTTTTGGGGTGGAAAATGACTCATTTATACTTAATATTACAAAACTTTTAATTATAAGTAGTTTATCTGAAATTTCTAATTATTTTCCAACCCCAAAAATATTTTAATTAATTTTTTTTCGATTTGGGATTTTTTTTGTTTTTGGTGGTTTCGTTTTTTAGGAGTTTTAAAGTTGGTGATTTGTTTTTACGGTGTAAGAGAGTTTCTAATTATTAAAAATATTTTTTTGTTATTTCTTTTTTTATTATTAAACATTTAATTATAATGAGTATATTTTAAATTTCTAATTATTTTTCAATCTCAAAAACAATCAAATGTCAATTTTGGACCCAAAATAGTATTTTTCGTTACTTGCTAACGAGCATGTGACGTAGGGGACCGAAAGGGTTTAAAATTGAACCTTGGAGGTGATCTTTGTTTACTTTGGAACAACGGGGACCAAAAGTGGAATCGGGACAAACATAAGGGACACAAAGTGTAATTCTTCCAAAAATTGATTAAATTGACTAAAAGTGTTGAATTTTTGAAATATGAGTGACCAGATGTGTTTTTTATGAACATATGGGGCTAAATATGAATACAGCTCAAATTTGGGGGATAAATTGTAATTTTCCCCATAATTAGCGTGTACATACAACGTGGGTTCTGTAAAAATCTTAAAAGAAGGAAATTACTTGGGCCAAAAGATAGGGAAAATTACAGTTGATGTCCCTAAACTTTACCACTAAAACGATTTATGTCCTCAAACATTTCAATCCACGAAATATGTCCTCAAACTTGCCACTTTTGATCACTTTATGTTCTGCCGTTAACGTCGACAGCTAACTTCGACGGAAAAGCACACGTGGCTCACGTGACGTCTATGTGGCCGTTAAATGTCGAGCTGTACAACACCCAGTGCCTACTTGGTCGACGAAACGTGATGTGGAGCGACACGTCATTCTCCTCCCCTATTTCTATTCTAAAATCCCTAATTCTCCATATCCCCAATGAACCCGTAAATCCAATCCCTAAAACCCCATTTCGAAACCTTCAATTGAGGTGAAATTCGAAATAGCAGAATCGTCTGTGAATCCATGGCCATTTTTCGTGGTGTTTTACCAGCAAAATAGCCCAATAAACAAATGTCGAATGTTTCATCGATTTTAATTTCATCTTCGAGCTGAAAAATCATGTATTCTTCCACTTCGTTGGGGAAGTGGGGAGCTGGAATCCGTTCTTGGGCACTCTATTCTTGGCAAAAAAAGAATTATATGCAGCTTTGACAAGTGCTGCATGTTTTTTTTTTTCCGGAATTGGTTCAGACATTTTGTCGAACACCTTCTGGGCAGGTTTTGAAACTGCTGAATGGGGTAGAATTTGTGCCATCTTCACCATCCTTGTGCTCGCTTCTTCGAGACCACAAGGAGCACAAGCATCAGCAGGTGAAAAATCACAAGACTCCAACGTTCTAGAGACGGAGTTGGGAGAAGAATTAAAGCTTCCTCTAAATTTTTTTGCACGTGAATATGCTGTTCTTTGAGAAGGGAAAAACTCTTTAAATGTGAGAATGTTTTGATTTTTTATGGGTTTATGAATTCGATTTTAGTATGGGTTCGAGCAAGAATGGAGATTGAATTGAAAATTTGGGAATTAGAGTGAAACGTGATTTGGGATTTGGGATTTGGGAGAGTGAGTTGGAGGAAATTTGTATATTCTTGTGCCACGTCAATATTTAATATTCAATATATTATTCCACGTCACATTTAACGGGCACATAGACGTCACGTGAGCCACGTGTGCTATTTCCGTCGAAGTTAGTTGCCGACGTTAACGGCAAAACATAAAGCGGTCAAAAGTGGCAAGTTTGAGGACATATTTCGTGGATTGAAATGTTTGAGGACATAAATCGTTTTAGTGGTAAAGTTTAGGGACATAAACTGTAATTTTCCCCCAAAAGATATAAATCATAGAATTCTACCTTTTGTAGAGTTGTAAGCAATAGAAATTAATTACTCCTAATCAAATTAGAACCGGCCGACACATTCAAGGAATTTAATAAATAGAAGCTTATTGCAAATCTAAAAATATGCAACAATTATTTATTTACTACATAAAAATTTGGTTTTATAGAAAAAAGCAAACAGGGAATCCATGGACAGAATATCCGAGTTGTCAGAGGACATCTTGCAGAGAATACTTTCTCTCCTCTCCCAAGAAGATGCTGTTCGAACCTCTGTCTTGTCCAAATCATGGCGTGAAATTTGGTGCACTCGACCCAATCTTGATTTGTCAGACACAAACTTCAAACAAGAATTTATATCCACCGTTGACAAGACTTTACAGCGATACTGTGATCAAAGGATTTGCTTAGAGAAATTTCAACTTTCTATGTCTCTATACTATTCGCATTCGGAACTTAAACCCGTTTGGTTTCTTGAAAAGTGGATCCGAGCACTAACAAACATGGGTGTGAAGGAGTTTCGTCTTTCTATTTATTCGAAACGTATTCAGAGACGAAGAAGGAGAAGTATTAAAGTGCCGGCTGTAGTCTTCGAGGCGGAATCACTCCAAGATTTGCATGCGGAAGGATTCACGTTGGACCAAACGTCTATCGGAAGGAATATTCTCTCTAAGCATCTGAAAAAACTTCATCTCGAAAAGGTCAACATCGAGGACAAGATTTTTGAGAAGATAATTACAAGCTGCCCTTTGATCGAAACTATGTCTCTCGATTCATGCAATAAGTTAAGAAACATCAAGGCGTATAATCTTCGCCATCTCAGGGAATTTTCCTTTTCAGCTTCTTTTGACGAAACAGAATGTAGCATAGAAATCTATCCGCCATCTCTTGAAACCATCCATATCACTCGGGGTATTATTTCGTTTCAAAAAGGTGCGGAATTTCGTAATCTCAAAACAATATTTCTGAGTGAGGTCCAATTTTCGTTGTGTTCTTCGTGTCGATTCCCAAGTCTAACAGAGTTGGATATTCTTTATTGTGATGTACTCGAAGAACCCATGGAAGAATCCAATCTATTTATCGATGCACCAAACATAGACTCTTTTGTTTACTACGGATCTCTTATCCCGTCCATCTCGTTTTCAACGACTTCTAGAGAGTGGAGTTCAACTTTATATTTAGTTTTTAGCGATGATCCTTCTTTGTGGTTACTCAAGCTAAGTACACTGCTCGAGTCGTTAAGCCGATCCGAAATTTCTCTCCGTATTAGCCCGTACCGCGTTAATGCTGAGGACATATTTCAAGATAACCACGATCTGGTACAATATATTAAAGATGAAAATAAAGCTGCAGTTATGGTGGACAAGTTGATATTACTAGGTAATTTATCTTACTTTTCGGCTCTGTCGAATGGGTTGTTTTCCATTTGTCGTCCAAGAACCATCGGTGATGTCAACTACACAAACTCCGAGTCTGCGTTGAAGAATCTAATGCAGGGAGAAGGTGGAAACCAAGATGAATTAAGACAGCTGTGGCTGCCGGATTTGGAGGAAGTAAACTTGGAGATTTACGACAATAACCGATATGAATGGGATCCGACAAGTTTGTCAGATTTGCCGGACTACGAGGAAGGGAAACGTATTTCTACTCGCTTTTCATTGAAATGGAGACAAAATTTGTGAGTCTTTTTAGTCCTCCTAAACTTCGTAGATTAAGAAATATATATGGATAAATGATTTATTAGTCTGCTGATAGTTCTTGAATCATATCTATTAATTTATAGAACATAGTTTTTTCTACAAGAGTTCATCACTTTATTGTGATTTTTCGTACTCAAACTTATCGTCTCTGAACAATCTAAGGCCTCATTTGGTTGGAGAGATTAGCCATTATATTAACTAATTGGTTGGACTGTTTGATGTTTGGTTTTCCCAATAACTTATCGGGTCGACCTAAAAATATTATGTTATCAAGGGTTATCTTGCCTTCTAGGTACAATAATACAATTTAGGTATATTAGATTATTTATTTTTTAAGGTATTTTTTGCAAAAACCACCCCTGTGTAATTTTGAATTGCCGAAAAAACACCTGTGTTAAAAAAATTAGCATTAACCCCCATAAAAATTAGTCAAATGCAACAAGGCCCCTAACAGCTTATTGTGTGCTCCACACGCGGATTGTGCGACTCGGAGTGTATGTTTTACCCAAAAAAACCAAAATGCCCATTTAAGTTATAAATTTCAAAATATACAGATTCACACTCGAAATTCTATACGCCCCAAAACGAAGTTTTCCAATTTTACACTTACACGTTTTCAAAAAACCATCCCTCCAAAATAAAATAAAAAAAACGTCACTACAACCAGCTTCACACCATCTACGGCGTCTTCCTCATCAGCAAACATCAATCTCGATTTCTATTCCCGAAACGGCATCGTCGGGCTCACCTCCGACCAGAACCCGAACTCCAAAACAGCATCGTTTGGAAGCCATCAGCACGAAATAGATCTAAACCGGAATTTTGAATTCTGTGAACATTGATTCGTATATGAGTGAGGTCAACTCCATAACCACCTCCATCACGGCCGCCGCCATAACCACCGTACCTCCCTCACGACGTCAAGATCCACCGCCGCGGATGTTTTCATTTGCTGGCAGATGATAGCTCATGATGTTTTTATACAAACCAGTTGTCTGGGTTTAGGTTTGGGTTTGGGTTTGGGTTTGGGTTTGGGTGGGGTGGTTTGACGAGGAAGAGCAACTGTACTCACCAGTATTATATTCTCTCTTTTGTATTTTTTTTCTTTGGGCAAATTCCACTTTCCCTTAACTTTCGCTTCGGTATTACTTTACTCGCTTCTACTCACGATTGCATCAATTTTACCCCCTGCACTTGAAAATTTATCTTAATGTGACATTCGCCGTTAGTTTTAGGGGTGAGAAAAAAAATAAAGAAACCGAAAACCGAAAAAACCGAGCCAATATGTACCGTCCCGACCGCATATACGGTAAAAAAAAATTTGAAAAAACGAAAATATCGGTTTGTGTATGGAGAATAAAAATAAATTACCGAACCAATTTCCCGAACCGAACCGATTTACACAAAATGATGTTTTTTGATATATAGTATAAATACTTACCATAGTGTGCCTCTATCTTTCAAGCGCCTCCATGTGACATGTTTTTCTATTAATTAATTATGGATCATGACGTGTTTTTTATTAGTTAGTTTATCGGTTATTATTTATTAATTTTCTCAAATATATATAATGAAAGTCCAAATATATCGGTTTTATGCCAAATCGATTCGAACAAATAGACGAAATCAAAATCGAAAATAAACTGAATTGATACTGAAACCATTAACCGAAAACCGAAAAACCGATTAATACCGAACCGAAAAAAACCGACATATTCGATTTTTAAAATATGAAAAACCGATATTATCGGTACGAGTTTCATTTATTGGAAAAACTAAGTCGTACCGACCCATGTACACACCTAGTTAGTTTTCAGATATTTGGCATTAACACCGTTGTATGAAAATTACAATAACGCCACACACCCTTACCAATTTAAATAATTATAAGAAAAACAAAACCAAAAGACAAAAAAAAAAAAAAAAAAAAAAAAAAAAAAAAAAAAGAAAAAATTGAGTTTTTGGTGGCTCAGCCGCCAAGTGATTCTTTCCCATGTCTTGAATTTTTTTTTTCTTTTTTTTTTTTAAATATGTAAATTAGGAGGGGTGGCATTTTTGTAATTTTAAGACCTTAAACTAAACGGTGTTAAGTCAGGTCTGAAAACTAATGACGAGGGCAACATTGAGACAAATTTTCAACTACAGGGGACAAATCGATGCAATCGAAAGTAGATGTCAGTAAAGTGATACCAAACCAAGTACAAGAAGAAAGTGGAATTTGCCCTTTTTCTCTTGATATTTTGTTTTCAATTTTTTATTTGTGGGTTGGGTATTTTATTTTTTTTCATTTTTTTACTAAGGGCAATTTTGTCATTTCATTTAAGTCAATAACAAAAAATGAAATAAGGGGCAGTGTGATTTATAGAAGATAGTATAAGGGGTTCTTGCTAAAAAAATTAATACGAGGGTTTTTTCGGCCATTTGAGATTACATTGGGAGTTTTTTGCATTTAGCTCTAGTTTTTAATTGGCTAATCTTATATTGACAATCAAACGAGATCTAATAAGACTAGATCATATTGGCACCGGGCATAAACTTTATCAGAAGTTACAAATGGGTGTAAAGAAGTTGTATCAAGATTGTTTGCAGTAAGTTTCATTGCCATAATTTATGTACAAAATTTACAAGAATATTAATCCACTCTAATTGTGAGTTCGCACGGATGTGGTATTAAATCGAAAGGTTTTTTTTTAGCACCATTCTGAATAAGCTGTTTGGCCGTGTTCGTGATTGTCGCCCCGTTTCCTACTCTCGAGTCCAGAAGCCGGAATAACTCAGTTTGGTGAAATGGAAGACATTAGAAAGCATTAGATTTCAATAACTTTAGAAAAGTTAAATTTAAGGATAAACAACACTTAACCCCTCGTAGCTACAAGCTTTTGTATATGACCCACTTATGCTATTAATATCAGCACATAACCCCTTAGTGGTTGATGGGGTAGCTTCCGTTAGTTTTGCTGTTAAACTTAACCGACAGCGTCAAAAATCAAAGTAATTATTTTGCAGATGACACCTTGTGCTTTCATTTTGCTTCAATTTTAGTGGATGACACCCTTGAAATTTGGCACGCGCGGTGAAATTTGATGGAAAAACTAACGGAAGCTACCCCATAAATTACAATGGGGTAATGTGCTGATATTACAAGAACATGGGAGTCATTTGCAAAAGCTTGTAACCATAGGGGGGTTTAGTGCTACTTACCCTTGTTTTATTTCATAAGGGTAAACAATAGGGGAAAATTATAGTTTTCACCCTTCAAATTTGCATCAATTTCACATTTGGTCCATTGTATTCACAAAAGACACATTCACCCCTCAACTTTCAATAATCTAATATTTTTTGTTATTTCCATCAATCTACCATTAGTCCGTCAGTTAAGGCGGTGATGGTATATGCTTGATTCCGTTAGTACTAACATAAAATTGATAAAAATGACTAAAAGTGTTGAATTTTTGAAACATGAGAGACCAGATGTGTTTTTTATAAACATGTAGGATTAAATATGAAACCAGTTCAAATTTGAGGGATAAATTGTAATTTTTCCCATAATTAGCTTGTAAATACAAAGTGGGTTCTATAAGAATCTTAAAACAAGGAAATAATGTCGGCCGAAGGATAAATCATTGAATTCTACCTTTTGTAGAGTTGTAAGTAATAGAAATTAATTACTCCTAATCAAATTAGAACCGGCCAGACACACTCAAGGAATTTAATAAATAGAAGCTTATTGCAAATCTAAAAATCTGCAACCATTATTTATTTACTACATAAAAATTTGGTTTTACAGAAAAAAGCAAACAGGGAATCCATGGACAGAATATCCGAGTTGTCAAACGACATTTTGCAGAGAATACTTTCTCTCCTCTCCCAAGAAGATGCTGTTCGAACATCTGTCTTGTCCAAATCATGGCGTGACATCTGGTGTACTCGTCCCAATCTTGATTTGTCAGACACAAACTTCAAACACGAATTTCTATCCACCGTTGACAAGACTTTACAGCGATACTCTGATCAAAAGATTTGCTTAGAGAAATTTCAACTTTCTATGTCTCTATACTATTCGCATTCAGAACTTAAATCCGTTTGGTTTCTTGAAAAGTGGATCCGAGCACTAACAAACATGGGTGTGAAGGAGTTTCGTCTTTCTATTTATTCGAAAGACAGTCGTCGGAGACGGAGACGTGTTAAACTGCCCTCTGTAGTCTTTGAGGCAGAATTTCTCGAAGATTTGCATGTTGAAGGATTCATGTTCGACCGAACCACTATTGAAAGGAATATTCTCTCTAACCATCTGAAAAAACTTCATCTCGAAAAGGTCCACATTGAGGACCGGATTTTTCAGAAGATAATCTCAAGCTGCCCTTTGATTGAAACTATGATTCTCAAATCATGCAAGAGGTTAATAAACATCAAGGCAAATAATCTTCGTCATCTCAAGCACTTTACTTTTTCATCTTCTTGTCACGACGAAGAATGTAGCATAGAAATCTATCCGCCATCTCTTGAAACCATCCGTATTACTCGGGGTATTATTTTGTTTCAAAAAGGTGCGGAGTTTTGTAATCTCAGTAGTTTATCTCTGAGGGAGGTTCTAATTTCGTCGTGTTCTTCGTGTCGATTCCCAAGTCTAACAAACTTGGATATTTTTTATTGTGATGGACTCGAAGAATCCATAGAAGAATCCCAGCTATTTATTGATGCACCAAACATAGACTCTTTTGTATATCACGGATTTGATATCCCGTCCATCTCGTTTTCAACGACTTCCAGAGAGTGGAGTTCAACTTTACGTTTTCTCTTTAGGGATGATCCTTCTTTGTGGTTACTCAAGCTACGTAAACTGCTCGAGTCGTTAAGCCGATCTGAAATTTCTCTCGGTATTAGCCAGCATTACATTAATGCTGAGGACATATTTAAAGAAAACCATGATCTGGTACAAGATATTAAAGATGAAAATAAAGCTGCAGTTGTGGTGGAAGAGTTGAAATTGCAAGGTGATTTATCTTACTTTTTACCTGTTTCGAATGGGTTGTTTTCCATTTGTCGTCCAAGAAAGATCGGCAATGTCAGCTACACGGACGCCGAGTCGGTGTTGAAGAATCTAATGCAGAGAGAAGGTGGAAACCAAGATGAATTAAGACAGCTGTGGCTGCCGGATTTGGAGGAAGTAAGCTTGGAGATTTACGACAGGAATCGAAGAGAATGGGATCCGACAAGTTTGTCAGATTTGCCTGAATACGAGGAAGGGAAACATATCTCTACTCGCATTGCATTGAAATGGAGACAAAATTAGTGAGTCTTCATAGATTAAGAAGTATATATGGAGAGATGATTTATTAGTTCTGCTGATATCATGTCGCATCTGTTAACTTATTAATTACTTTGTCCTTAAACTAATCTCCTTCCGCCTTTCATTCTGTTGGTTTTTTCTCGTCAATGGGGAAGCCAGTGTAGGGCCAAGGGGGTCATGGCCCCCCTCGAATTTTAATTTTTTTTACTACTATATATGTATTTATAATTTATTGTCTTTGTATTGTGCCCCTATAATTTTTAACAATTTAGTTTTATAGAAGAAAAAAAAATCAAGTATTTTTAATTGAAGAAAACAAAGAACAATGATAAATGAATTTAACAAGTAGGATAAGAAAGTTACGAATTGTAACTTGAAACCACGGGCGAGTCCACCCTCGTGTAAGGAGGAACCCAAGTCCACACTCAATTGGAACAACTATATTACACATATATATATTTATTAACTCCACCCAACCTTTTTGTCATTGTAATATTTTGTACTCAAACTTATTCTCTGTTAACGAACTAATATTTTCTACCCACAACTTATATATATATGAACAGATGATTTATTAGTTCTGCTGATATGTGTTAACTTATAAAACATTGTTTTACCTGCTTATTAATTTCTGTCATTAAACTAAGGGTTAAATACTAAAATACACTGTACTATGAACTTTGTATCATATACACTATGTACTACACATAAATATAAAACCCCTCCTCACATTACATTTTTTTCAAATTATGACAAAAATACCCCTACTCAAGCATATATATATATATATATATATATATATATATATATATATATATATATATATATATATATATATACACACGTACTTTGAGTTATTTTCCACTATATATTTTAGCATTTTCAGTTAATTTTACGTGGGAAGTTTTTTGGTATTTAGCTGATTCTTTTTTCCAAAACATCTACTTGCTTATATTTTTTTAATTTTCTAAATAAAATCTTTTATTTTTGTTATTTTGAGTTTCTTCATGTTTTTTTTCTTAAATGTCTTCCGGTAGTTCAAACATCGTAAGATTACAAACATCTTTACACACCTATTATTGTTAAGAATTTGAACTACCGGAAGACATTTAGAAAAAAAATGAAGAAATTCAAAATGACAAAAATAAAACGTTTTATTTAGAAAAAAAAAATCTAAGTACTTAAATGTTTTGAAGAAAAAAATAAAAATATCAAAATTTCCCAACTAAAATTTACCGAAAATGTTAAGAAAATATTGTGAAAATGACTCAAACAACCCTTATATTCATAGCTTAGCGGGGGGTATTTTCGTCATATTTTGAAAAAAAATATAACATCAGGGAGGTTTTTGTATTTATGTGTAGTACATGGGGTCCATAGTACATGGGTGTTTTTGTATTTAACCCTTAAACTAATGAGATTTTAGCATCCGGCAACCCTGTGTAATTGTCTAATGGCTAAAAAAGCCCATGTATTAAAACAATTAGCACATACCCCCAGTGTTACATAGTTAACGACATTAAGGCCCCTACGAGCTGGTCGTGTGATACACTCGCCAAATATGCGACTGGGGTTCGATTTTTTGATGTGAAAAGACCCAAATACCCTTTACATTATAAATTTCAAAAATAAGCCCCAAATAAAATTTTCATTTTTTTCAGTTCAGGCCCTTGAAATTTCAAAAAAAACCTTCTTCTTCCTTAAGTCAGAGAGTAGTTTGCAATTTTCCAAAAATACACTGAACATATCTCTCCGGCCTCACCTCCCTCCATATCCTCAGCCCCTACTTTGCCCCTCCACTCCAACATTTTCTGCAACAAAATTCGGTTCGGTTTGGAGCTAAGATTCAAGCTCATTATTCTTCTGCAAAACCCATCAACAACCCGTGAAAATCAAAGAAAATATATGCCCCCATCGAAAACAGAGCTTTTCAAAGAAAAAAAATTCACGAAAAAAAATATTTTTTGCATTTTGTTGGGTCTTCTGCGGCGTCTCCTGATAGTAACCCACCATTATACAAGGTATGTGATGCCTCCGGATCCAAACATCCCCATTGTTTTTTCTGCTATTTATCGTCTTCTCCGACGATGGTGCACTAGGCCAAAATGCAAGACTGGCGACGTTTTTCTTCGCGACGATTATGTTTTCGTCACCCGTTTACGACGTTTCAGAGCTTCAATCGTCGCTTAAAGTGGAAAATCCAGGTTTAGTTCAAAACCCTAGCGACGATTATGCGTAAGCGTCGCTAGTTCGCGAAGAAAAAGGTATAAACATCGCAAATACGAAAACAAAAATTTCAAAATACTTATTGTGGCGACGAAAATAATTTTTCGTCGCACATTTACATATTTTGTGATTTTATATTTCAAATCTCGCGACGTAACACTGGGAAACGTCGCAATTATTATTTTTAAAAAGAAAAAATAATATACTTTGCGACGTTTTCTCGGAAACGTCGCTAGGGTGCCCAATTATTTATTATTAATTTATATATGGCGACGGAAGGACGTAAAACGTAGCTACAGTTTTAGTAAAAAAAAAATTTATCTCGTTGTGACGGATTTGAAAAAAGCGTCGCAAGAAATGTTTTGAAATTTTTTTTTCGAATATGTTAGCGACGTAATTTTGTGATTCGTCGCTAGGCTTCGGGTAAAAAAAATTTTGTGGCGACGAAAACGGGAAACGTCGCAAAGGTTGATTTATTATTTCAACCAGACTCTAATTCGATCTATTTCCTCCCCTCTCTCTCAAACTTTCTCCCTCTCTCTCTTTCCTCCGATCTGCCACCACCGCCCGCCGCCTGCCGCCCGCCGCCGCCGCCCACTGCCCGCGGTACGCCGTCATCCCGCCGTCCGCTGCCCGCCGCCTGCTGCCCCTAATTCGCCCCCAATCTCCGCTGCCGATAAGTTGCCGTCGCCGACAGCCGCCCGCCGCCTGCTGCCTGCGGTTCGCCGTCATACCGCCGCCGTCATCCCGCCGCCTGCTGCCCCCTAATTCGCCCCCAATCTCCGCTGCCGATCCGTTGCCGTCGCCAGCCATTGCCGTCGCCGACAGCCGTCCGCCGACAGCCGTTGCCGTTGCCGACAGCCCTCCCCCGCTAGCCGTTACCGTCTGCCGCCATTCCTCCTCCGTCTGCCCTCCTTTCAAGGTAATTTTCCTTTTTTTTTAATCTTTGTTTGTTTATGTTGAAAATTTTGTATGTGTTTGATTATTGCGAACTATTTTTGGGTTTTTTCTCGGAATTATGTGTTTGTTTGTTTTATGTTGATTTGATTGATGAGCCTGTGTTGCTCGGAATTCTTCGAAATTATTGTTGCTCGGAATTATGCGAATTGTTCTTGGGTTTTATGTTGCTCGGAATTATGTGTTTGTGAGTCTGTTGTGTGTTTTGGTGAGTCTATTGTGTGTTTTGGTTATTTGATGTTTCTTTCTGCAATTTGGCTATTGTGTCGGTGATCAATTTTTCCCTTTTTTTTTGTTTTTTTTTTCTTTTCTTTGTTTTTTTTTTTTGGGAAAATTCCGAAAAAATTCCGAAAATTTCGTAAAAATTTCCGAAAAATTCCGATTTTCCGAAAATTCCAAAAAAATCGGAATCGGAATCAATTTTTGAATTCCGAAAAAATCGGAATCGGAATTGGAAGGCGTTGTGGACTTCCGAAAAAAATCGGATATTTTCCGAAACACCCAAATCCTATACGATCCGTCCGATTTCCACTCCTAATTATGAATATAAAATATATAAATAAATAAAAAAACCTTTTCGGAAAAATATTGAAAAATTGCTTTAAATTAGGGTAAATTACAATCACACCCTAAGGTAAAGCTAAATTATGAAAAAAATCATAATATTTGGGTAAGTAAAACAATCCCTCGACTACGTATTGTCTTTGTTCACCCTTACGGAGTCAAATTTACTTACTAATGAGGGGGGATTTTTGAAAATTGAAAATTGATATCAATTGAAAATTGAAAGCTTTCCCGTTGCGACTACCACCTTAATTTAGTTTTAGTTTATGAATGTAACTTTGAAAATAATTGTGATTTTAATAATTGTGACCCTTCCCAATTTCTAGGTAATCTTTAGGGGTGCAAGTTGGAACGGAGTTTCCAATTTCCGCCGGTTCCGATCTGAAAAGTTCCGATTTTGGAACAACTTTTTTCATTCCGACTTCCGAAATTCCAATTTCCGAAATTTTCCGATTTTTTTGGATTAGAATTGGAATTATATAAAATAAATTTGGAATTTCCGATTTCCGATCCGATTTAATTCCGAAATTAATTCCGAAAAATTCCGATTTTTTTCCGAAAAATACACCTATAAATAGTATATATTATATAATCCTTATTTTCCGAAAAATACACCTATAAGTTTTGTTTTAGGATTTTGACATAATGAATTTTTGTTAGAAGTTTTATTGGATATTATGCTGTGTTTATTTTTATTTATTTTTTTGAACTGAAATTTAGTAGTTATTAGTTTTACTTTTATCGACGTGGATGCTCTTATTTTCGAAAAATTATGAACATTTTAGAAATTTCGGCTAAGTTTTGAAATTTTAAAGCTTATGTGATTTCCGATTTTTTTCCGAAATTCCGAAATTTCCGGGCCTTTTGGAATTGGAATGAATTTTTAGATTCCGAAAATTTTGGAATTGGAATTGGAATTGGTTTTGTACTTCCGAAATTTTTTGGAAATTTTCCGAAAAGGCTAATTCCGATCCGATCCATCCGACTTTCACCCCTAGTAATCTTGTTAATTAAAGCATGCCAAAAGATAGGAGTTGGGTTTTATTAGATGATCGTCGGTTAGAAGTATATCAAAATGGTTGTGTGGAATTTATGGATTTTGCCTTCGCTAAATGTTACGTTGATAATAAAATAAGATGCCCATGTAGAGATTGTAAGTGTCGTAAATGGGGGGATCGTGAATTCGTTCATAAACATTTACTTTGGAGGGGTTGGGATAAACTGTATGGACAACGCCGATGGACTCTGCATGGAGAGTCCGAAGAAGAATACATTGGCGAGGAAATGAACAATACTAATCATATAGAAATTCCCGAAGTTGCAATTTTAAATGAACCTGTTGATGTACGTGATAACATGGAAGAGTATTTACTGCATGCGTGTCTTGATCACGATCAAGAAAATAAAACGTCGCTAACTGTGATAAAAACGTCGCTAACCGTGATAAAAACGTCACTAACCGTGATAAAACGTCGCTACGAGACAGAATTCGTCGCGAATTTTCGTCGCCAGTCTTGCGTTTTGGCCTAGTAGTGGCGATTAGGGCTTTGGCGGTGGTGACGATTAGAGCTTTGGCTGGAGTTTTAGTAATTTTGCTAGGCTTGCTGAGATTCTAGAATTTGCAAAAGAAGAATAGGCTGGGTAGAACTGGCAAGGAGAAGTAGCGGTGGAGGGGACGAGAAGACCGGAGGAGGCTGGTGGTGGAAGAAAGGGGCATGGGCGGCGGCGGCGGCTTCAAGACATGATTGCCGGAGGTGGTGTTGTGAGTCTGGTGGTGGTTGTGATTTCAATGAGAAAAAAGAATTTTGGGGAAGACATGTTCTTTCTTTCTGTTTGGAGGGAGCGGTTTAACGAGGTGATTGCCGGTGATGGCGGTGGAAGTTTGCCGGTGGTCGTGGCAATTTCAATGGAGGAAAAGAATTTTGGGGAAGACGCAATTTTCTCTCTTCTCTTTTCTTTTTCCTTTTCCATAAAAAATGTGTTTTTTTTTCTTTATTTAAGAAATTTTTAAAAATTGCAACTTGATCCAAAATTTTGGATTAATTGTATTTAAATCCAATTTGATTTTATGTTTGAAAAAATTACAATTCAGTCCCCTAATTTAAGTTTCAGGGGTGTAGTAAAATTGCAATTTGATTTCTATTATATATTAATTCTAATTTTATGTTATCAATTGAAGGGTAGTATAGTCACATCGTTTTAGTCAACATATTTATTTTCACTAGGAGTTAGTGAATTAAATAAAATGCAATATAGGGGGTTAATTGCTAATTATTTTAACATGCGGGCTTTTCTAACCATTACAGCTTACAGAGGGGGTTTGTGCACATAACTCTTAAACTGATCTCCTTTCCGTCTTTCTTTATGTTGGTTTGTTTTCGTGAAAGTGTTCATTGTAATATTTTGTGCTCAAACTTATCGTCTGTTAACAAACTAATATTTAAGACTAGACGAAAATATGTAATGGAAGATGAATAATTTTGGCACCAATATTATAAACTTTTTCACAAGTTACAAGAAGTTGCATATATATATATATATATATATATATATATATATATATATATATATATATATATATATATATATATATCAAGATTGTTTACAGTTAGTTTCATGGCCATAAGTTCAGTTATTAAGCTGGGTAAAAATTTATTGAATTTCTCATTAGTCCCATTGGAATTGGAGTTTGACAAATGTCTCACTAGCTGTGTAAAAATTTCTTGAATATACTCTCGGATTTCTTATAAATACTGCAAAGCTCACAAGAGTATTAGTCAACTGTAATTGTGAATCCACACCAAGGACAAAAAATGCACTTCAGCCCCAAGAAATTTTTAATTTTCACACTGCACCCCCCTCGTCATGCTCCCCAGAAGCGGCGGCAGTCCTTACCCATCTCCCTCTGCCGCCGCCGCCAATCACCCTACCGGTGAAGCCAAACAGGGTGGTGCCATTCCCGAAACCACCATCCTCGCCGCCACCGCAGTCAGTCTGTCCACCGAAGAGAGAAAACACGATGGTGGAAAAAAAAAGAAGAAAACGGAGGAAAGAAAATAGAGAAGAGAGAAAAGCAGCGGAATGAAAAATTAAAATAAGATTAGAGTTTTGAAACAGTATAATAGATAATTAAGGGTAGTTTTGGAATTATGAAAATATCACATGGGTGAAATATTAGCTAAGGGGATTTTCTCTAATTCTTTTTGGGAGGGAGTGTTTTCTTAACAATATTTCCTAGATGGATAATTTTCCCTGTATATATCCCTTCATATCTTAACCAATTTCCATCACAATTAGGGGTGAAAGTCGAATGGATCGGATCGGATTTAGCATTTTCGATCTGGAAGTGCAAAATAAATTCCAATTCCAAAATTTTCGAAATCTTAAAATTCATTCGATTTCCAAAAGGCCCGGAAATTTCGTAATTTTGGGGAGAAAACGGAAATCACATGAATATTAAAATTTTAAAACTTAGCGGAAATTTTATGAAAATTTCATAATTTTCCAAAAATAAGAACATTCACGTCGATAAACGTAAAACTAATAACTACTGAATTTCAGCTAAAAAAAAATAAAAAATAAAAATAAACCACATCATAATATTCAATAAAACTTCTAACAACAATTTAATATGTCAAAAATCCCAAAACAACATTTAAATCTAATTACTTTCAGAAAAAAAAATATAATTATTATATAATTTATATTATTTATAGGTGTATTTTTCGAAAAAAAAATAGGAATTTTTTGGAACTTATATCGGAAATTATATCGGATAGGAAATCGGAAATTTCAAAAAATATATATATAATTCCAATTCCGTTCCAAAAAAGTCAAAAAAATCGAAAATCGGAAGTCGAAATGAAAAAAGATGTTCCAAAATCAGAACTTTTCAGATCGAAACCGGCGAAAATTGAAATTTCCGTTCGGACTTGCACCAATAATCACAATCATCTAGTCATTGTGCTTTCAATATAGCCCAAAAATAAAGAGAACTAAGAGAGAGAGAGAGAGAGAGAGAGAGAGAGAGAGAGAGAGAGAGAGAGAGAGAGAGAGAGAGAGAGAGAGAGAGAGAGAGAGAGAGAGAGAGAGAGAGAGAGAGAGAGAGAGAGAGAGAGAGAGAGAGAGAGATTCACCAAAAACCGATAAAAGTCGAGGTGAAATAATAAAAACGGGGAATCTTAGAGAGTACAAAGACAATAGTCACTCACTAATACTGCAAAAACATCCTATGTTAATACAAGCCACTCTAACCATGTAAAAGAAACTTGATCAATACCCTCAAAACGGCGCAAATTAGCTCTCTTCACCATTCTCTTTCATGCTGCTCTCCAAACTCTGCTGCACCAAATTGCTTCACTGCCTTCATCTACATACAGTCAAAGTAATCCAGACTCATTAAAAACAACCAACCTAATTCACAAACTTCAAATATAAAATAATCTGATATATCAATCTCTAAACCGCAAAAAAATGGCTTTATAAATAAGTGGCAAATTTTTAAACTTTTAAGTAAACAAACAAATGAGAAAAACAAACCAACAGAAAGACAGATTGATAGACATAAGCTAGCTTACGGGCCAAGTAATCAATAAGCAGATAAAACGGTTTTTTTACTACGACTGTTAACCCCGTAGCAAAAAGTATCAAATTCGTAGTAAAATGGTTTTGCTGCGCATTTGCCCCATAGCACATACGAGGGCGTGACAAAAACTTTGCTACGGTAAACGGCCGTAGCAAAATACTTTTTTTGCTACACCTAGCATTTACAACGACTCCAAGACTGTCCCGTAGTAAAAGGTACCTTTTGTTACGTATTTTTATCTTAGAAAAAAAAATCGTTGTAAAAAGCCATTTTTCTACTATTGACAGACGACTCACGCAGTTTCTCTCCATTTGAGTGTGAAGCGGGTTTGACATTTCGGGGTGAAGTAACCTTCACGCCTTCCGTGGCTTATAACAAATTCCGACAAAGGTGCTCGATGCCATTCTTCTTCATACCATTCCTTAATCTCCATGTTTGCTTCCTCCAAATCTCGTAACACCAACTGCGAGAGCTGATAACTTTCTCTCTCGATTAGAATCCTCCACATAAACCCGACAAATTGCATCACTGATCCTCCGTCGTAGTTGTTGCAGTAACCCATGTTTCTTGGACGGCAAATACAAAACAGGCCATTCAAAATAGACGAGAAGTAAGATAAACTACAACCACAATTCATGTTCAAGCTCTCCACCACCACGACGGGTTTATTATAACCGTTGTCTTGTACCCAAATGTTTTCTCTAATTATGTTGGTATTATCTATCATCAGAGAAATTTCCGACTGGCTTAATGACTTGAGCAGTTCGTCTAGCTTGAGTAACGACAAAGAAGATTTGTATAGGTCTATCTTTGACTTCCACTCCCTGGAATTTGTTACGAACGAGATTGATGGGATAAAGTTGCCTTGGTATTCAAAATTGAGTATGTTTGGTGCATCGATAACTAACTGGATATCTTTGAGTCCATCACAGTTGAAGATTTTCAAGAACTCAAGACTCGGGAACCTACACCAACGCGGGCGGTCCGACGACAATTCTTCATTGAGTCCGTCACAATCGGAGAGAGTCAAGCGTCTGAGGCTTGGGAACTCACACGAAAACAAGCGGGCCCGCGACGATTCGACATTGCGTAGATCTAAATCAACGAGGTTACGAAACTCCGCACCTTTGTCAAAGGAAATATTACCAAACCTGATCTTAATTGTTTCAAGAGACGCGGGATATATTTCGATGCTACAACGTTCGTCTTCTTCATTATTTCTTTCAAAGGAGAAGTCCTTGAGACGACGGAGATTGTTCGTCTTGATGTTTCGTAACCCCCCACATTCTTCGACATGCATAGTTTCAATCAACGAACAGCTCGATAATATCTTCCGAAATATCTTTTCCTCGATGTGGACTCTTCGGAGATGAAGCTTTTTCAGATGCTTAGAGAGTATTATCGTCGGAACAGCGTCTCGGTCCATATCGAATCCTTCCACATGCAATTGTTGGAGCGATTCGGCTCGAAAAACGACAGAGGGCATCATATCGTTGTGATCTACCGTACAAATAGAGAGACGAGACTCCTTCACACCCATAGTTGTCAGTATCCGGATCCATTTCCCGAGAAGCGAAACCGATTTGTGTTTGAGACAATCGTCTAGCGATATTCGAAGGTGGAATTCATCCAAGCACAGCCGTCGATCACGATACTGTTGCAAAGTGTTGTCCACAAAGGATAGAAATTCTTGTTTTTTACCTTTGAAGGTGGCCTCTGAAAAATCGAGATTGGGGCGAGTGCGCCACCTGTAACGCCATGATTTGGACAAGACAGATGTTCGAAGAGCGTCTTTTTGGGACACGAAATACAGTATTCTCTGCAAGATGTCATTCGGCAAATCGGATATCCTGTCCATGGAGGCTGGCTGAATATCCAAGATTTTTCACCCTCGATGTTATAAACCCTAATGTATTTTCCGCCTCAATAAACCCTTTCGCAGACCTATCTTTCCTTGTTTAAGATTGTTATTAATTATTAATTATTAATTATTAATTATTAATATATTATTTTAGTTTAAATTACGGCCATCCTGAGTTATGGTCAAATTACGAAATACCCTCATGCCTGGATAATTACAGCCACCCCTGAGTTATGGTTAAATAACAAACGGCCTCCTGCTTGGGTAATTACAGCCACTCAACTCAACTATGTATTATCTTATGAAAAAATCCTCCAGAGGTAAATTTAGGGATGTTGAATTGGTAAAAACCAAAATAAAATTTCGGTACGCCAACATTTTATACCGTTTACCGAACTGAATATACGATTTGGTTCGATAAATAACCAAATTATATAAATTTTATGTAAAAATATTTTAAATGAGCGTTAACTGTAACTACCCAAACAAGAGAGGTCTTTTTGTAATTTAATTATACCTCAGGGATGACCGTAATTTGCCCTATTTTTTATTAATTTATTAGTTAGAGACTTAGAGCTTTGCATATAGAGGAATCAAGTTCTGATTTACCGAATATCAAAGAGAATTACAAATGTCAGTTTCCTAATGTTCTTAACAAAAATTGTCATTTATTTTTGGGGAAAATACAGTTTACATCCTGAACTATGGAGCTTGTCTTAAACACCCCTTATACTATAAAACGTAACAAAACAGTCTCTCCGTTTGGCATTCCGTTAATTGTTGTTGATGTGGAGGGTTGACTTTTCTTTTTCACATCTTAAACTAGGGGGTATTTGTCAAACACCCCTTGTTGAAATTTGACTTCTTGATAATCTAATTTTTTTAATTGATATTTGTTATAAATCCAATTGGCTCATATTATCCAAAATACCCCTATTTAATATTACATAAAATTTCCATATAATATTATTTTAAAAAATCCATTGTTTTTTGGTAGATATGTGAATCCCCTTATTTTCTCCCCACCATCCCCTATTATCTCCTATCACGCCTTTCTCCTTCAATTAGTTGATTAATTAATTGGGTTTTTTTTATTTATGTTTAAGTTATGTCGTATTTTTGTTATTTTTTAAATGATTGTTTTTATACATTTTTTTTAAAGGGTTTATTAGGGATAACCCCCTTGTTCATATTTTCTAATGAGGTAGATCCAATTTTTTTTCCCCTTTTTGAGATAGACCCAATTTTGCCAACTTGGCAAAATATATTATATAATTTGCCTTTAATACCCCTATTTTATTTTTAAACGGCTTTTATTTTCTTTACTACGTGATTTGAGATTTGCTGATACGTTGCCTAAAATCACGGAATAAAATTACGTGAGATCATTGGCCGTTATATCAAATCGTGTACAATATTTTTCGAAGGTTCTCTTCAGCGTTCCAGCGGTTTTTTATCGTCTTTGAATATTTCTGCACCGTCGTTGAAATAGGATCGAATTTGAGCGTTCGTTGTTGGACGTTGTTAACCGGGTATGAATGCGTTATTCGTTTTTTTTTTTTTTTCGCTCAATGTCTAGGATTGTCGATTACGGTGGTTAGAAATTTTTAAGAGTTGTGTTGATACTTGATTCTATTAAGTAGAACGTTTTTTAACAAAATTATTCCGTCATATATACATCGTTATTTTTTGGCGGATGATGTTTGTTTGGAAGAGGATTGACAGAGTTAGATGAGGATGGTTCACGCATATCGGACCAGAGTTGTTTTATATGAACATCATAGTTGGTTTACGCATTAATTGAAATAACTGTCCGCTGTCGTGGAGTTCATGAGTCTGATCCCGGTCGATAGTTGGTTTATTTGTTTATAACAGCCGATTTAAGTGTGCTGGGTAGTACATTAAAATATAGTTCGTAGTCTTTTTTAAATTAGCGTATGGATTTTGCATTTTAAGTTTATTTTTGATGATATTAATGTATTGTCATTCAAATGTATTTGCAGTCTAGTTAATCATTTTTTAGTATTCTGCATTTTTAATTTTGTTTCATGATTTTAGGTTTTTTCGATGGTGAATTTCGTACGGATTTTGTTGAGGTTTGGTGGGTTGGTTGCTATAAAGAGGTGTTTACGATGTAATGGCTCGGTAACTTCGGTTAAGTTTTAAACCATTGTAATACAGTAGTATACTATTATGAATATCGTATGATACTACCATTATCATTTTATTATATTATTATGAGATTATTAATGTACTAGAGTTTTTTAAGTCGACATATTGGTTTGATTGTGTTATGATGTGTTTTATGTATTTTATCAAAACCCTAGATTGAAATTATGAGATTATTAATGTACTATTTTATTGGTTATGTTGGAATACTTTACGTTGGTGTTGTTCTCAATGTTCTTGTCATTTCAGTGGTATATTGTTTGTAACACAATTCATATCACTACTATAACCGTAATATACTATCATAGCAGATCAATGTACTATATTGAAATTATTAATATACTATGTGGTTGAATAATACGGGATCCATAGTCGATTAACGAGATCCATAGTCGAATTAGATCAATAAGATAGTCTATTACATGATATAAGGAAAATTACCCTAATTGATTAGTATTTCAAACAAACATATTATTCAGTTTCCATATATATTATTATTTTTTCATATATATTATTATTTACCTTAATCGTTTTCATATAATAAGGAAAATTACCCTAATTGATTAGTATTTCAAACAAACATATTATTCAGTTTCCATATATATTATTATTTTTCCAATAGTCAATTAACTAAATCCATAGTCGAATTAGATACATGGGATAGTCTATTAAAAGATATGAGATAGTCTATTAATTTTAAAACACAAATCCGCCGCCGTCACTTCTCAAATCTAGGGTTTTGATGATTCTTCGGCCCATAATCGATTAACGAGATCCATAGTAAAATTATACCAGTGGGATAGTCTATTAAATGATATGGGATAGTATATTAATACAGATGTAATTCGACTATGCATCTCGTTAATCAACTATGGGCCGAAGAATTATCAAAACCCTAGATTTGAGTAATCCTAGATTTGAGTAACCCTAGATTGGAGCAGTGACAGCGACGGCGGCGGCCAACGACGATATCACTTCTGGTGGATGTCCTGCCCATCAATTGTTGCAATATCACTGATTTAGTGCTCGAATTCGGTAGGCGATTATAACAGATCTGCAATTACACAAACGTAATATTCGATTTAGCCAAAACATATCAACAAATCGATGGATGATAGCGATTCAGCGAGTGGCGACGACGTACCTACGACAGCTTGCTCGGAGTGCACGAAAATCGTCGTTTCACGGCAGTGCAGACGTCTTCCCCTTTCAATCGGCCGTACGGGGAAGTTGTTCTGGAAGGTTTTGCAGTTTATTCGATAGCGGGTTTGGGATGACAGTGATTTAACGGGAAAATAGGAAGGGATTTGATTTTATTTCAAAAGGTAAAGTAACGGGTTTTGTGGGATTTGATTGAGGGTAATTATGTAATTAGGAAAAGTTTGGGCTGTTATCAAAATGGCAAATATAAATTTGGTACTACCCCTACTATTATTTGAATGTTTAAGGGGGTTATATCTAATAGACCCTTTTTTAAAAGTTAAATTTATTAAAATAAAAAAAAAATTTACAAATTGAAATTCACTATAAACTTACAAAAAATCACTATGTGATTATAATATTCTGTTACGAAAATCCCTTATAAACTTATCGAAAATCTCTATGTAATTAATAAAAACCACTCTATAATTAATGATAACCACTGTGTAAATTAACGAAAATCACTATGTAATTAGCAAATTCCATTAAAAAAATTCACTAAAAACTTATCAATTAACAAAAACCACTCTATAATTAATAAAAACCACTATATAATTAACGATAATCACTATATAATTAACGAGTTTCATTACAAAAATTCAGTAAAAACTTATCAATTAACGAAAACTACTCTGCAATTAATGAAAACCGCTATGTAATTAATGAAAATCATGTAATTAACAAATTTTATTACAAAAATTCACTATAAACTTATCAATTAACAAAAACCACTCTATAATTAATGAAAATCACCCTCTAATTAATGAAAATCACTATGTAATTAACGAGTTCCATTACAAAAATTCAGTAAAAATTTATCAATTAACGAAAATCACTCTGCAATTAATGAAAAACGCTATGTAATTAATGAAAATCACAATATGATTAACAAATTTCATTACAAAAATTCACTATAAACTTATCAATTAACAAAAACCACTCTATAATTGCAGAGTGGTTTTCGTTAACCAAACAGGTTGCGGGCAAGGCTAATAACGCTCAGGAAGTCTTTCTGGTAGAAACCAGCTCTTCGTCGCCGTCAATGGCAAATCTGCCGCCCATCAAGGTGAGAACTGAAGGTTACAATCAGACGGCTAGAGAAGCATTGCTTCGGGATTGGCAAATGCAGCTCCGCCACCTCTTTCTAATATTGGCGGCGCCGCCGCCGCCACATCAGGTGGATGAGAAAATGTGAGTCGGGTAATCTCAAATCTGCGATGATGAGAAATCAGAGAAGTCGGATCATGGAATGGTGGCGGCGACAAGGCTGAGGAAGCCACCATTGCCATTGCCATTGCAACCGGCGCACAGGAAGTTTGCTGATATTCATTGTCGTTATAGTGTGTATGTGTGTGAGAGATAGAGAGAGTGAGTGTGTGTGAGAGAAAGTAGATTTCAAATCAATAAATCCATGAAAATAATTAACATTAATTTTAGTTTTATATATATATATATATATATATATATATATATATATATATATATATATATATATATATATATATAAGAAGATTTGGATAGAAAATAATGAGGGGTATAATAGTGATCATTAATTATTTTTTATTAATAAAAATTGTTTCTGATTTATCTTAAAAATGTGAAATAAATTTGGGCCTCTTGTAACTACACTTATGGATGAGAGGGGTTTGCCCTTAAACTATCTCATAGATTTATTTGGGCACATTTACCCCTTCACTTTCTTCATAGATATCTTTCTCAAATTATTTCAATTTGTTTCTAATTTAGTCAACTCAAACTACTATGCATTTCTAAATTTCTATTATTTATTTCCAATAATTATTTATCTCACAACATTTATTTATTTATAAATCTTGCTTTATCTATGCTTTTTTAATAACTATTTCTCTTTTTATGAAGTTTTTTAATAATCATTTCATATTATTTAGTTGTAAGTGACTTTTCTATAATTTTAAACAAAAGATATACATCTTATATATAAAAGAAAGAAAACCCTAAAAAACTATAATGGTGTTTATGTTGTTATTTGTTTTTTTATATTTTTTCTACTAATTTTCTTACTATAGTTTTCTACAATTATCAATATCCTATTTTTCGTCAATATATCTCGAATCTTAAGAGATAAATATAGAAATTCGATTTGTTAAATCTTAATCTATATATTTAGATTATAAATCTTAATATGCAATATTTAGAAAAACTAATATTATATATAATATGAATAATACTGCATTATTAAATTTTACTATGTACTATATTTTTTTTATGTGTATTAAATTGATTATTTTTTACCTTTTAAATAATATAATGCACTGGGAAAAAATGCTAGTTATTATATATACAAATAAATAATAGAATTAAGAAAAAGATATGTCTAACTTTTTCCAGCTCTGCGTATCACGAGTTCACGACACCTCTTCCCACCTCTGTGTTTTTCTCCCTCAACAAAAGATTTTTATTTCATTAATTTTCTGGAGTACAAAATATTCACACTGCAAATGTATAAATTGATAATTTTCGTGGTGAGGATGATGTCGCGTCATTGCACACCCCTATTTAATTTCGCAGCATAAAATAATAAAGGTTAAAATGTAAATGCCCATTATTTATGACGGTGTTAAATTTCTAATGTTTGACTGTTAAAGACAGGGACTATTTTGTTACGTTTGGTAGTTTAAGGGGTGTTTGAGACAGACTCCATAGTTTGGCGGTGCAAAATGTAGTTTCCCCTTTAAAATATATACTAAATTATATGATAATAAAAATAGAATAATAAACTATCTAATTAAGATATAAATAAAATAAAATAATTAAAATGTTTAAAAAATATAAGAATCTATTAATTGTAGAACTCTGGGGGTATTTGTGTCTTTTTATATCAAGTCAACACTCAAATGAATAATGGGTTGAGTGTGTTATATAAATAATTCCACAGGGGGTTTTGCTTGTTATTTATCACATGGAGGGTTTTGCTATTTGAAGATTAACAGGGGTACTTTTTGCAATTTACTCAAACGATAACATATGAGCTTGAGGGAAAAAAAATCTTAAAGGCAGGAAATTACGTTGGCCAAAAGAACAATCTTTGTTGATTACAACCCATCGACTCGTTAGAGAATATTGTGAATGCTGAGAGTCGTCACTATATGTTTCAAAATACTTGGTCACTTAATTTTGCCCAAAAAGTATCAGATTTTTGTTGGTTTTCATGTATTGAATCTGTTGATGTGTTAAGGTATACGGATACGAGGATGTCCTCGTCCTTTGAAAAGTTTTTTGTACATTGAAACATATTATATGGAAAATAATAGATGTAAATCTAATTGTTTTTTAAAATACCATTAGTGGACAAAAAATTAGCCAACAACACTCCTCTTTTTATAAAAAAACAGTACCGCACTAAATACATTACTTAAGTTAATATATTGTTTCTGCTTTTTAGGGCTTTCTCTATATTTCATTTTTAGGGCGACTAGTTGTACCATCTCATTGTTTGTATATTTTTTGTTTTGTAATATATAGTTGATTTTGCATTTTTTTTTTTTTGAAGTTATGATTTGTTGTTTTTATTAGCAGATTCTTAATCGACTATGCATCACATCATAGTTGGTTAATATGCTTCATTGACTCCAATTTTAAATTTTTTTTTGGATTTTTTGTTTATTGATTCCAATTGTATAAATCAATTATAATGTTTGTACATTGTTTGTTTTTTTGTAAAATATAGTTGAGTTTGCATTTTTGTAGTTGTGATTTGTTATTTTTAGTAGTCGATTCCTTAATCGACTATAATTCATCATAGCCGATTTAATATGCTTCATAGTCGATTAATATAAGAAATAAAAATTAAAAACGAAAAAAAATATAAATAATAATAATAATAATAATTAAAATAATAATAATAATAATAATAATAATAATAATATAATATAATAATAATATAATAATAATAATAATAATAATATTATAATATATATATATATAATAATAATATAATAATATAATATATATATATATATATATATATATAATATTATTATATATTATAT